TCTCACTTTCCCACCAGATTATCTCACTTTTCCATCAGATTATCTCACTTTCCCATCATGCCAAGTATACAGTATTGCGGCTAAATAATTATCCCTCTAAATAATGAAATTTTCGCCATAAAAAAGTTATTTTAGGTTAGGTTCCTCTGCAGTCAATGTAACCCTTTTAGGTTAGGTTAGGTTAGGTTAGGTTAGGTTCGCTTCGCTTCGGTTCCTCTGCAGTCAGTGTAACTTTTGATTTCTGAAATTGCCTCGTAATATTTGGCGACTAATACTCTGCGCTGTTTGAGAATACTGAAGTGGGTGAATACACCTCTACCTCCCCTCCCACCCCTCTACCTCCCCACCCACCCCTCTACCTCCCCACCCATCCCTCCCCCCCCACCCATCCCCCCTCATGTTGCCGGCAGCGCTACCCGGACAAAAACCCCATTCGGACAAAACCCTCTCAGTTAAAAGTTCAAAGTAGAACAAAAATCCCCCCTGATTCTCAATGTTAAGGGAAGGTTTTTGTCCTAGGGAGTTTTTGTGGGGGGGATTTGGTCCTAGGGATTTTTTTGTTAGGGAATTTTTTTAAGGGTTTGGTCCTCTGGAGATTTGGTCCTGAGGAGTTTTTGTGGGTTTGGTTTCATGGGGATTTTGTTAGGGAGATTTTACCCTAACACTGGATGCCTACAGCTCCCGCGCGGAATACACTGAAGTACCAAGGGTCATTACGTCAGATTTCCCGCGGGAAATTATTACGGGAGGAGTTCATTGTTTTCCCCGCCATATTGAATTTGCCTTTGCTTTGTTTTGTAACGAGAAAGAAATGTTTGTTGGAAATCTTGTTACCTGAATAACCTGTTAGTTAATTGGATTAGTTATGTAATGTGTTATTATTATTATTATTATTATTATTAGTAGTAGTAGTAGTATAGTAGTAGGAGGATTATTATTACTGCATTATTATTTATATTATTATTATTATTATTATTATTATTATTGTTATTTTTAAGGGTTTTAACTTTTCAATGCTACATTTATTTTGGCTACTCACCATTGTTTAATGACAACATATACGGCAGTGTGTGTGTGTGTGTGTGTGTGTGTGTGTGTGTGTGTGTGTGTGTGGAGTACGAACGCATTTACTTTAGTCATCAGTCACCCGTGTACTGGATGAGTGGAGTGAACGCCTCCCCCACACTGCTGTTTGTCGGTTCATTCACATTGGGTTCGCTTTGTGGGTTCATTTGCATTGGGGTCGCTCTGTGGGTTCATTTGCATTGGGTTCGCTTTGTTAGTTCATTTGCATTGGGTTCGCTCTGTGGGTTCATTTACCGTGATGTGGGTTAGGTTAGTTTAATTTAGGTTAGGTTAGGTAGGGTTAGGGTAGGTAAGGTTGAGTTAATTTAGATTTATTCGCGAGTACTAAGTGAAGAACATGACCAATTTTAACCCATTCTTGTCTAATTTAACTTAACCAAACCTAATTGAGCCCGACTTAACCTAATCTAACCCAACCTAATTTAACCAAGCCTTAACCTAATCTAGGCTCGAGTCGGAGAGATGGTGTGTCGATAATGTGTCATAAACATCCGGTGTGAGCCAGTACTTGTGTGGTCTGAAAAATGGCAGATGAAATTTAATGTGGACAAATAATGTAAATTACTTAGTCTAGGAGATGTAAACAGAGAAACCAGATATTCTTACTTTCACTGGTCAGGGGAACTAGATACAAGACTTCAGAGGAGAAAATATGAAATACTTATTATTTAGGACTCACTGTATTACTGCATAACATCAAAGACATGTAAGGGAATTTAGAACTAATCATAATGGTTCTTTCATTTATTAACGACGTTACTCAAATTAAACAGTTACACTTTCGAAACAATAACCTATCTTCCGAGCCAACTATCAAGGGGTCATATGAATCACAGTACATTTCGGGAAACGGATGAAACGTAATAGGTACTCACATTATAGCCGCCATATGAGGTGACACCCAGGACACAGCCACACTTAACTCTGACCAAACACAGACTCCGCTTTTCAAATTGCGTCAGCCCACTAGGGACGCCACAACTTTCATGATGTCACGCCTCATAGGCTTTCTCATTGGTCGCAGACAGGCCTAAGGCCTTCGTACTATTGGCTTGAAATTGGCGGGAACTCTCAGGTGGCGGGAAACTCATGACATTGTTACAAAAGAGTGTTAGTTGCAAGTCTAGCGAGGTCATCCTAAAACTATATCTTGCGCTTGTGAGACCTCACTTGGATTGCACAGTTCAAGTCTGGTCACCGTATTACAGAATGGATATAGAATCCTTGGAAAGAATCCAGAGGAGAATGACAAGACTAATCCCGGGCATTAGGAACCTTGAGTACAGAGACAGGTTAAAGCATCTTAGTTTGCACTCCCTTGAGAGACGTAGAGTGAGGAACGATATGATAGAGGTGTATAAATGGAAGTCAGGGCTAAACAAAGGGGACATTACAAAGGTACTCAAACTATCCAACCAGGAGCGAACTCTTAACAATGGTTTTAAATTAGACAAATTTAGATTTAGGCGTGAAATAGGTAAACACTGGTTTGTAAATAGAGTAGTGGATGAGTGGAACAAGTTACCAAACATCATCATAACTCGAATACGCTAGATAGCTTCAAACATAGGTTGGATGGATAGGGGTTGGGTGTAAATGGGACTGCCCAGTGTGGCCCGCTGCAGTTTCCTCCATTTTTCTGTTCTTATATGTGAGCCAGTACTTGTGTGAGCTCGTAGGGTAACCATACCATCACCGGCTTGTAAAATCTCGACTCCTTGAACCTGTCTTGAGGTCTACGTAACACCCTGGTCTATGTCGAGGGTTGATTATTGTCTTTGTTAATGGATTAGCCTCCTCCCCTAGCTTAATTTACCTGATGATTAATCACTCCTTACTACCTGTGGGGGGTTAGATTAGGGTAGGTTATGTTAGTTTGTGTTGTTACTTTATGTTAGGTAAACGTTAGTGTGGTTAGGTTAGGGGCTGAGCTTCAGGTGATACGAATATCCTCTTTCGTAAACAGGAACAGATTTAGTTGTGGATGGAGAGGTTGGCAACAAGCGTTTGTTTAGGTGTTGTGGTTGGTTGGCGCCCAGCGTTCACAAGACGGTAAAAACACAACACTCTTTCGTACTCGCTATTCACGAGTGATTGAAAATTGTGGATATTTAATTCTCTCGCCTTGATTTCGTATCTAAGTAAATTTGTGGTCATTCATTCACGAATTTAATGAGAACTATCGGTTTCCGCGGCTGGCATTCACAAGTGGGTTAAAAAAAAAACTATTCCACTTTTTCCCCCCAGGACGGTTGTAGAGTCATGAGTGATGTGTGCCGCTTGGCCTGACGAGTGTGTTAGTCACGGTGTCTGGTGCTCTTTGTCTCCGTGTGTATGTTGTTGTTTTTTTCCCTCAAGGTGCATTACTGTCACTCATGAACGCACTTGACTTAAGAATTAAACACACACACACACACACATACACTCTTACATAAACTAACCTAAGCGCAGGTAGGTTAGTGGTGTTTTAGTCTTTCCTTGGAGTGATGATAATGGTTAAGAAAAAGAGGAGATGGTGTGGATAATGAACAAGACGATAAGAAAATGGAGAGACGGGGAGGAGACGAATAAAGAGATGGAAGAAAAAAGGGATGAAGCCGGAGAACACACACACACCGTCTCCCTCCTCCTCCTCTCCCCCTCACCAACTATTGCGACATTTTTCCAGATCTCTCCGTCCAAAGCAAGACCCTCACCTTTCCCCTCTCTCTCTCTCTCTCTCTGTTTTGTTGATGTTAAGAAAATCACTATTGAGGATTAGAGATTATTATTAGTAGCAGTAGTAGTCGTAGTAGTAGTAGTAGTAGTAGTCGTAGTAGTAGTGGGAGTACTTCTCAATCCTCCTCCTACCTCACTCCCTCGCTGCAGGTCCAGAGTTCAATGAACCCCAGCGCCGTCTTATTGGGCCAACCATTTTGACCTCTATAGTCGGCTACCATTATCATCGTCATTATCATCAGTATCGTTATTTTTGTTGCTGTTTTCTTGTGGCAGTGTTTAGGTTGAGGGATGGTTAGTCCCGGAGGAGGTATGAAGTGTGTGTGTGTCTGGAACGAAGCTCTCTCTCTCTCTCTCTCTCTCTCAGGGGTGGGGGTGGGGTAGCGCAGGCAGGGTCGGGGGCGTCGTGGTGAGGGACTTTCAACCAGGTGTTAAGTAATACTGGTGTGGGAAAATAGTATTAACTCGACCGACTCACCTGTATTACCGACTTACCTGTGTACCGACTCACCTGTACACCGATTCACCTGTATAACGACTCACCTGTATAACGACTCACCTGTATACCGACTCATTCTTCAGTAACTTCTAAAAACTTCCTCTCACCTCCTGGTTTGATGATTTACGTGTGTGTGTGTGTGTGTGTGTGTGTGTGTGTGTGTGTGTGTGTGTGTGTGTTGGTTTATGGTGACTAGGGTGAAGGAAGGGTGGTGGTGAAAGCAGCAGGAGAGGTGTTACGGGTATGGTGCTGGGCTTACACCATAGCGGGGGGATGAAGGTGTGTGCGGGCGTGCGTGGTTTTGGCGGCGGCGGCGGCTGTGGTGGTGGCGGCTGTGGTGGTGGTGGCTGTGGTGGTGGTGGTGCAGGATACCTTCCTTGTTCCGCCTCGTCTTGGCCCACTGTAAGAACCTGTTCCCCCAAGTGGGTTATTGTAGGTGTGTGTGTGTGTGTGTGTGTGTGTGTGTTGTAGAGGTCATCGTCCCCTCAGGTGTGTTAAGACGTGGGTGTTGTTGGCAGTACTCTTGTTTGTAACCGGCTGGTGTATTGTATGAGGTAGAGGGTGGTGGGTGTAGTGGGCGGGCGAGGTGGTGGTGGGTGTGAGAGTAGGACGGACGGACGGGTGGGTGGGTGGCAGTAGTATGTGGAGCGCGGCGTCACAGCCTCAACAACAGCAGCAGCAGCGGGCGGCGTTGAAGTCGCCAGTTGAGGTGTAGAGAGTGAGGCGGGCGGGCGCGCGCCTGTGTGTGTGTGTGTGTGTGGTGCCTCAACTCACCCAACCACAGCCTTCTTCTTGTGCTACTACTACCCCTCTTACCACCTAGTGTGTGTTAACTCTACCCCTTCCTCCTCCACCTGGTGTCTCCCTAGTGTTAACAGTGTTAGTGTGTGTGTCGACGGGGGCCACTCTTGCGGAAGTACAACTGGAGAGAGTGGCTTATAGGCAGGCAGGCTGGCTTGCTGCTGGCTGCCCCCTCTACCCCCCCTTATCTACCCCCACCTCTACCCCCTTGCTGGATCTGCTGCTGTAATGCTAGTGGTGCTGGACGACCTGACGTGACCCCCTACTCCAGGTAACGTGGTGGTTCTGTGAGACACTCCCTCCTCCCTGGCTCACCTCTACACCCCCCCTCTCTCCTCTACTACCACCCCTCCTCCCTCATCGTTCTCTCTCCCTCCTCCCCAACCTATTCCCTTTCCCCCCTTACCCGCTCTTCACACACACATCCTCTTCCCTTACTCCCCACCACCCACACTTCTTACCCCCTCACACCCCAACCCTTTCTTCTACCCTTTCCCTGTATCCGCATTTCCTTTAACCCCCCTTCATTTCTTTCTCCCACCCCCATATAATAACACCCCCCCACACATCCGGGGGAGGGGGGGCTGTCTTCTGAGTTGCTTTCACATGGTTGCATGACTGTGCTTTGTCTGTCTGTATGTCTGTCTGGTATGTTTGTCTCACGCATGTGTAATGTTTTATGTTCGCGTATAATATAGTAAGAAGAAAGGTCATCTCTCACTCTACCTGGGAGTTCATTGTGTGTGTGTGTGTGTGTGTGTGTGTGTGTGTATGTGTGTGTGTGTGTGTGTGTGTGTGTGTGTGTGTGTGTGTGTGTGTGTGTGTGTGTGTGTGTGTGTGTGTGTGTGTGTGATTGTCCAGCTCAAACCACCACATTGTCAAAAAACAACACAAGTAAGCAACAACAAAACACGATCACATCCCCCCCCTCCCTCCCTCTGTCTCCCCTGCCCCCAAGTCTAGGGTATACAGTACTGAGTCTCCCTCCGTCTCTACTACAGGACACAGTGTGGAGGTCCTGTGTGTGTGTGTGTGTGTTACTCCACGTCACTGGGGAGGGGGTACAAAATTAATCAACCATTACCTTCACTACTACCACACACACACACACACACACCTACCAGTACCACCGACAATCATTATTATCACCACCACCACTACTACCACCACCACCACCACAACTACCACCACCACCACCACCACCACCTTCCCTGGCCGGGGTTAATGACCGTGGCGGCGGCTCTGGATCTCTCCCTCCCTCCACACACACATTCCCTACCTACAACAAGGACGCTGCCTCAATACATACCTACATATATACCTACACATCTACCTACACCTCCCTACGATTATACCTACATATATATACCTACACCTCCCTACGATTATACCTACATATATACCTACACCTCCCTACGTATATATACCTACTTGTAAGTCCGTGTATCTACGTACCTCTATATTTACCTTCATATATACCGTACCTACACATATACCTGCAGACCTACCTCGTATTCCTATATATATATACACTGTGTAAACATCTTGGTTACATATACGGATCTTTCTTATACAGTATTGTCTTGGGTCTGTCTGTCTGTCTATCTGTCATTTCTCTGTCTCTGTCTGTCTGTCTCTGTCTGTGTGTTTCTCTGTCTGTCTATCTCTCATCTGTGTCTCACTTTGCCTCGCTCTGTCTGTCTCATTCAAGGCTAGCCAACCAATATCAGTCCTTATAAATCATCGTCATTAACATCAAACACAACAACTAATAATGGCTCTGTTGATTGTGTGTTCCTCGAGTCGGGGAACTACCGTACAGTACACCGTCCGTCCGTGTGTGTGTGTGTGTGTGTGTGTGTGTGTGTGTGTGTGTGTGTGTGTGTGTCGACTCACAGTGACCACAACTTGGCAGATTAAGGTCAGATGGGGAGTTATGGGGTAAGTACTGTTGCTCCCCCTCTCATACCCCTCCCTTCCCTACTCCTTCTCTCCCCTCCTACTCCTCCCTTCCCCTTTCCCTTCTCTCCTACCCTCCCTTTCCTCCTCTCTCCCGTACCCTATCTTCCCCTCCCCCCTATCCTCCCTATCCTCTTCCTACCCTCTCTCCTCCTCTCCCAGCTCCCCTCCTTAGCAGTGTCAAACAGAAGCAAGATATTCCACCTCACACGGTTAATAATTATGTTCAGTCACACACACACACACACACACACGTACACACACGTACATATAGACGGTGGAGTATGTGATCTAACATTCATTGTATGTATGTATGTATGTATGTATGTATGTATGTATGTGTGTATGTGTGTATGTATGTATGTATGTATGTATGTATGTATGTATGTGCCACAGTTCACTCGGGTTGTTTCCAGTACTCCTTAAAATAAGTAATCATCAGTATTTTGTTTTCATACTAACTCAACCACTCAGTCAGCCGGTCATTTGTTTCTCTTGTTTTGATCGCTGTTTAGTTGTTTTCGCTAAGTAGTAAATAATATAAGGAGTTGTATTATCCGGGCTCCGTTTTCTCCTCGGTAAAGAGACGTTGGTCAATAAGACGCGAGTTTTACCCTTGAATGTTAATAAAATCCCGTTTTCTTTGAGGGGCTACGGGTGTATTTTTTTTACTGCATATATTATTATTATTATTATTAGTAGTAGTAGTAGTAGTAGTGGTAGTAGTGGTAGTAGTAGTAGTAGTAGTAGTAGTAGTTTTATTATTATTATTATCATTATTACCGATCAATAGTGGACACGTAGCAATGAGGGAAATTTAGATTAAGGGAAGAATTCTAAATTAATAATGGTTATTAGTGAAAAATAATAAATTACCCAACACCATCACACATTAAACTCACTGAGAGGTTAGAAATGTAGGTGTAAACAGGAACTATCAAACTAATAAGTCTACTGTAGTGTGTAATTATGTTATTATTATCATTATTATGTATTATTATTATAAGTGTTGTTATTATTATTATTAGTAGTAGTATTGGTAATAATAAGAGCAGCTGATACAACTAAAAGTTACATAATTTATATACAGTTCAGTGCAGTGATTCGCTTCCAGACGTCTCGGTGTCGTCATTGATTCCCGCACCCACACACACACACACACACACACACACACACTTTTATCCTGCCTCATTACGTTATATTATAGTACAGTTGAGTGAAGGTCGTCTCGTTTCGCCTTGTGCTTAAGTAAAATCCTGGAGTGTAAGCAAATGTGGTCTCCTTTCCGTCCTCTAAGCGGAGATCATTGTTTTTGTGTGGGTCTTGGTGGATGTATGTGGGTCAGTCTTCTTTATATTGGACCTTGGCTGTATGTGGGGTATCCTAGCCCAAGTGGGTCCTCACACAGACAGACGGAGACAATCTTATTATCATTTACTGTGGAGGATGATAATAAATGGATGGTTAGTTTTCGCTTTTTTTCAACAGGAGAATTATTATTAATCTCAGTGTGTGTGTGTGTGTGTGGGGGTTCTTCAAGTATCGCCTTAACCATTGTTGTACATGAGGTTACGTCACTGGTACCGTATCCGACCACCACAATGTGTTTATGTGTAGGAATGGCGGGTGTGACGTCATTTGTTTACATCAGTGACGTCAAGAGGAGCCTTCATTATGATTGGCTACGATACAATGACTGTATCTGTTGACAATATTGATGATAGTTTAGAGCAGGGAGGACTGTGGTCGCCAACCTTCAGATTATGTGGACGGTACGCTGATTGGACGAGGACACACACACACACACACAGGTAAGGAGGGATAGGTTGGGGCGTGGGTGGGGTGTAGGGGCGTGGTTTGGAGGTGTAGGGGTGGGTTGGGGTGAGGGGCGTGGTTTGGAGGTGGGGGCGTGGGGTTGGGGGTGTAGGGGCGTGGGTTGGGGGTGGGAGGGCGTGGGGTTGGAGGTGTAGGGGCGTGGGGTTGGGGGTGTGTAGGGCGTGGTTTGGAGGTGTAGGGGCGTTAGGGAGAGCGAACGTGAGTTACAGGTGATGTGATGGTGTGTGTGTGTGTGTGTGTGTGTGTGTGTGTGTGTGTGTGTGTGTGTGTGTGTGTGTGTGTGTGTGTAGTGTCATGGGTTGCGTTAGGCTTACCCACGCAACCAACTCCAAAGTTTGTTTTACTAAAGATAAGGCACCCAGTGAGGCATAACTGGGACATATATTTCCCATTAGTGGTATGTTAGCCAGCCTTTAAGGGGAGGCCAGTGAGACAGTGTTGTACTGTTCATCGCTTCACACCCAAAAACCTCATTTTAAGTAGTATCCCCTTGGCCATGGGTTAGTCAAGACGTCCCCATCCTCTCCCTCCTGAAGGGAGCAGGACACCACACGGAGTCCTCCACCGCCACTCCGTCCTGTGGACCGTCGTCGACGCGAGATTAAGCGTGTTAACCTAGGTTGTTATCCCCGTGGAAATATCACGTGTGGAAGCCTGGTTGCGACGAAAACAATCCAGGCTGGTCTATTGCACCTTTGTGGTTAAACAAATCACGCTTACCAGTTCTCCTTGCCGCGACAACCGTCTACAGTGACTGTCAGTGACGCGAGACTATGTGTGGTAACCCAAGAGTACTTTTTGTTGTTATGGCCCGTGGAAAGAAGTTCTTGTGTGGAAGCCTGGTTGCAACAAAAGCAATCCAGGCTGGCAGTAAATGTATCACTTGAAGAATTAAGGCTCTGTTAAGTCACACCCATAGTAGAGTAACCACATGTGTCCCCAAGTTGAAAATTCTCTTTTAGAAGATTAATTTTATTACAGCGTGAACGTGAGTGACTCATATATCCATGCAAATTGTAAATCATTGTATGGAAGCTTGACAAATAAATGTAAGTGCAATTATCTGCCCGTATCTGTGATCCTATCTTATTATTACTCAAGGTAATGACTGATTGGTTATGACAAAGTATAACCAATAACTTAGATGGATGTTGGAAATTAATGGAATTCATTAAATCATCATTTATCAAGTATAAATCATGGAATGTCGGGTGGTGGAGTGAACTTCTACGTAGATACGCCACAATCTCCTGTAAGTACCAGTGTGAAGGTGTCGAACTCTACGGTAAGAAATAAGAAATACGACATATTATTATCTTTATATAATATAATCCACTCTTACTACCACTACGAAAACCAAAACCATGACAGTGTGTGTGTTGTGAGGCAATGTGTTTCTCTTGTTTTTGTTTTAAGATTTCGGGCTCTGTGATTAGGTCAAGTTGGTCTTGATTTGGGTTAGGTTAGGTTTGTTGG